CTGAAGAACTTCACATTCTTGTAGTTATGAGCAGACTAGGAGATCAAGGTCCAGGTCTTACATACTTTCTCTAGTTAATGCAATATTATAATGAAGATTTGATTCACATTTTTATGTCAGGTTGCAAAAGAAGAACTTTGCTGAATTTTCATTTGAAATTGGAGGTAAACTATATACTTTCATAGATGATAATTAGAAATCTCTTTTTGGCTTCACATTTGGAAATGAGCCCAAAGTTTAGGATTCAAGTGTCCATTTTAATTTCAAGTGGAGGATGCACTCAAATGAACAATTGAAGACTCTACGTGATGACAACAACAATGATGCCATTAATATGGGTTATCTCAAGATGTTGCCTCGTATATTACGATGGGTTATTACTCACGTTTTGTGTCCCAAGGGTGGAGGTTTTTCAAGGGTTGATAATACTGAGATACATCTGGTATATCTTCCTCTTAATCGTATAAAAATAAATTGGTCATATTATTTTGTTGCTCGAATTTTCACAATTAAAAAGTGTAACAAGGGGACTGCCTTTAGCTACCCATCCATGATAGCTAGCATTCTCAACTTTATCAACATTGGCTTCCCAACTATCCCTTTGATCTATCCAAATGATGGATTGGAATTCTCCGAGGGAACCATGCATAATTTGAGATATCATTGGGATTCTCGAAGAGAATAACACTATTTTGAGGTGGTCTAGACAAAGAAGAGAATTTATAATTATGATGATCCTGCGAAATATTATGATGTTGCTGAAGATGAGGGAAATGATGATGGTCCTGAGGACATCAGTGGTGCTCCAGCGGGAGACATTCCCATGCCAAATGCAAATCATGTTGAAGATGAAATTTAGTTGAGTGCAATAGCTACTCAACAACATGACTATGAGCAACCTTGGAGTGATAATTGGCAACAAATTTCTTGGACTGCACAGGGAGGAAATTTCAGTGGATATGATGGAGGTTCTCGTGATTATGTTGATAATTCATATCAAAATGGGTATGGAAATGATACAGGAAACAACTCTGAGATTTTATATGTGCTTTAAAACATGCAGCTTCAGCAAAATAAGTGCTATGAAGAGGAAGTAAAGTGGTGTGAGGCTGAAGTGCAATGGTGCACTGATTTTCATAATGCTCAAAATGAGCAATTTAGGCATTTTAATTAAAGATTGAATACTCAGGAGACCAATTTCGAGGAATTTGCCTCGAGTGCTACTGCACAGTTTCTATCCCTTCACGAAGAAATTCACAGTGCTAGTGGAGTTGTCTAAGGAAAAATCAATCGTCTTCAGACTATTGGTGTTCAGCAAAGTGAGGAAGCAGTTGCATTTTTGAAGATATGTGTATAAGTGGAAGAACTTATCAAAGGCATCATGGTGGAAACAATGGAAATTGATGGCTTGCATTTCATTTTCATGCATTGCATTTTAAGAATAATTTGGTGTTTGGTTTCATGTACTTTAATCTTTGTGTTCTTAAACAATATGTGCAACTTTGCTTGTGTTATTTTTTGAACTTATTATTGTTTATCTATGTTTATGTATGTAGTATTATAACATATATAATGTATGTTTACACTCTCGCTATGCAAAATTGCTTTTGGAATGATGTATTATATCGTTATGCATTTAAGGGCAAGATACTTCTAATTGTGTTCTTTGTCTCTTTTTGATGTTTTCAAAGGGGGAGAAGATATAAGAGATGATAAATGATGAAATCACATATTCATGGAGAGCATCGTTGAAGTGTATCTTCATTTTTGTCATCATTAAAAAGGGGGAGTTTGTGAGTTAAACTTGGTCCCTTAAGTGTTTTGAGTGATGTCAAAAATACGAGTGTCTTGCATTTATCTGATTGAATACTACCTCTGAGTTTAGTATGGCACTTTGATCATTAGGAAGTCACAAGTTATTTGGGAATCATTAAAAGTCACCTTGAAATTGAGTCAAGTCACTAAAAATTTGTATTTATTCATATTTTCGTTGCATGTGTCGACACATCCATTTTTCAGGTCGGCACATGTAACTCATTTTTAAAGTCTGTAAGCTTCTGTAAGTCTTAGGAGGACACATGCATATTTCAGGTTGACACGTATTGAAGCTTTTCTGAAATTGCAGAAATTCTTATTTTGTGTGTCGACACATCCACTTTTTAGGTCGATAAATTTGCTATCATTTTAAAGCATGTAGCTTCTGTAACTTTCCAGACGACACATAATTCTTTATAGGTCGACACATTCTATTCAAAAATCATGTATGTGTCGACACATACAATTCTTAGTTCGACACATATTGCTTTAGTTGGTCAATTTCTTTAAAATTCTTTTATTCCAAATGTATCCCTCCTTGTCCTAAAAAAGTTACAAAACCATAAATACTCTTTCATGCATTATCTCAAGTTGTTGAAAACCATAAAAAGTATCGTATTTCTCTCATCATCTATAATCTCCAATCTATGCATACACATTGATATTACATTGTAGCGATGTTTTATTGGGGTGTCATCTAGACGAGGATCGCTAGTGTGCAATTGTGCATCGGGTTGAGTTTTGTAGGAGTTTTTATCCAAGAAAAAACATTGGGTTTATCCTCTAAGATCATTGGTTGATTTGGGCATTTTCGTGCAAGATCGTTCGAGAAGGAATTATCCGTGTGAATGACCTTGGAGTGTTTGAAATCTTTGCAAGGAGCCTTGGAAGATTTGAAATCTTTTCAAGAAAGTAGCAAGTATTGAAAGATAGAATCTAAGGTATTGTGTTTGATAGATGCAATCAGATTTAATCGAGTGAAATTCCTTGGAGGGTTTAAAATATTTGCAAGGAAGTAGCTTAAGCGGCGAATATGTTGTATCTATCGGTTCTTGGTCTTGCTCAAGATCCAAAGAGGTGAAGGGGTTCAATCAACAACAAGTTTATGGTTTGTGGAGTTTCTCTTTAACACTTCTCTTGTATCAACAATTTTTCATAGTAAGAATTATCCTAATTCCATTGGAATTAGGCGCAGACGTACCCACACATGAGGACGACAGTGAGGAACTGTGAAGACAAATTCCTTGTGTCTCTTTTACTTTTTGCTTTTACTTGCTTTGATTTTCATTGATCAATTTATCGAATAGCATTGCGTTATCAATTGAATTGTAAGAGTTTTACTAATCAGTTTTTGATTTTAAATATAATGTTGATATAACTTATAATTGCTTTAGATTATAAGTGGTTTTGTGTATTAACACAATCAAAGGAAAAATTCTGAAAATTCACTTGCACACCTAGTGTTTGATAAATTGATTCAACTAGTTATTTTTAATATTGCAATTGGAAATAGCCTTGCAAGTAATTTTAATTGAACGATAAATAAGTAACAAAGTGATTCAAAGTTATTAATTGATATTATCATTTGTGTTCCATATTATTTTTGTTCTACAGTTTGTATATCTGAGTTTTCTAATAAGTGTTCGTATAGACGACAATTTGAAAAAGCTTTTGTGTCGTACTTTGATAAAAAAATTTCAAAACCAAATTTTATTTGGATATTCTTAAAGGAGTATCTATTCACTCCCACGAGATATTGTTGACGTCGTCTAACAAATCAGCAATTTGGTTATGTACAAACTTTCAAGTTTCAGACATAACCCTTCCGCTGTCGTCTCCTTTGATACATATCGAAGAACCTTATCACCAAGGCTCAACAAGATTGCATTGTGGGCTTTTCTATCATTGTCGTCTTCTCAGCTACTGTTAACACAACCTTCATGGCCTCTTCCTTCAACGCTTTCAAATAATCCTACTGAATCAATAGGACTTTCATCTTCAAGCGCCACAGACCGAAGTTGTTCACTCCAGTGAACTTTTCAATCTCATACTTTATTGAAGGCATCTTCTTCAAGCTCACTGTATCAATTTTATGTGAAAAATCATACCTTTGAAATAAAGTATAAACTGTTTCTTTGTGATCAAGAAACAATTAGGATAAAAAAGATTTAAAAAAACACGAAGAACAACAAGGATTGGTTATAACTGTTATTCTTTACTTTCTCTTAAAACAAGATTACAAGTACACACGAATAACAAATAACCCTCTCACCCTAAATTAGGATTTGCAGTAATGATGAGAGACTAGTACGCTATTTATTATAAACCTAACATAATAAACTAATGGGCTTTATCACATACTCATTACAAGCTAACTTAGAGTACAAGCTAACTTAAACAATTGGACATAACAAACATACCCAATTCGATGCTAACAATCCTAACATTCTTCGAATACTGCATGTTTGATCCTTCTTCGACTACAGCATACAATACTTCGACACCATCCATGTGAGCAACCTTCGACTACATACTACAACTCTGTCGAACTTTCGAAATTAAGAAATTACCTTCAACCAACTAAAGTTCGATTTCAATATCTCACAAAATTAAATCTATGAATTGAATGTGTCTTAATAAATCAAGGTTCAATCTAATATACAAAAATAAATAGTTTGAATACTCTAAATCAATAACTAATGACTATGCAGGGATTGTCTAAATGCAAAGTGCCCGCAAATGATCTAAACAACTTTTTATTTTTTATACTTAATAAGGTAAGCATATGATAATTTAGAGATCAAATTATAATTTTATTCTAACTAACAATCTATAGATCACACTTTATTTTTAAACTTATAAAATTAATCCTTATAAAATTATTTGCTCAACCAACTTGAAAATCAAATAAGATTCAATTTTTTTATTTTATTTTAAAATGCATGAAATAGTTACAATATAAAGTTTCCTTTAATCATCTGTAAACAATATGGTTCATTTATACTTATTGGAAAGTATCAAAGAGTTGAGAAAGAACAATGAAAAATAAGGGGAAAAAATACAAATTCAACCCTACTAAGTTGGTAGTACTAAGAATGCCCAAAAATATATTTTCTTCAATGCAATGCAATTTGCAGTAACAACTAATGAAACAAAGAATGATATTGTTTGTATTCAATTAAAAATTATAAACCCTTGGAACCAGGAAGAGCGATCCATTGCAATTGAATTTCGACTTCACCACATTCGACATGTCGCAATCTAAGAGCAACATCTTGGACAATATGTCCATCTTGATATGTGATGCAACTCTCTTCTGCCAAACAATTTGTCCTGCATGGTTGTATTCTGGTGATTATAGTACCATTTGGAATATCTTCAATGTTCATCTTCAATGCCTCTATATATGGTGAAATATCCATTTCAGCATCTCCCATGTTGTCATCTTTGCTAAATGTGTCATAATCATACACAGTCTGCAACAACAAGAGAATCAATTAGTCAGATAATGCAAAATGATTTTTTTTTATTTTAAATTCTTGTAGACAGAAAAGTTTACTAGTTTGAATGGAAGAATAGGTTCGGTGATAGAAAGTGTAAGATCTTCATTCCATTCAGGATTGATATCCTTTTTAATCACATGAGTCTTGAGTTTCTGAAAACATAAAGCAAAAGAATTTAGAATAGATCAGTATCTTATGTGTCATGTCAGGTGTCTGTGTCGAGCTTTACAGATAAAATATATCTGTTTGGTCATCTTAACGAGTAAAAAATTTAGGAAATGTCTGTCAGGTGTCTGTGTCAGAGTTTTATAGAAAATATACCTGCTTGCCCATCTTAACAACAATGTATGGATCGCTTGTATTAACATCACGAACGGCGAGGTTGACACCACGCTTGATGCGAATCCTTAAAAGGCCGAGAAGGTCATCCATTACTGATTAACAGCTATCTCCTGCTCACATTCACTGGCTAACTCCCCCTCCCTTTATAAATTCTTTAAAGAAAGAGCAAGAAACAAAGAAACATGTGAGAAAGATTCATGAATATCCGAAATTGGTAAAATATATTCTTACCAGATAGTTGGTGGGTAAATCAAATATCTGAATCTTGAGGATGGGAGGAGAGAGCGAGAGAGAAAGAGAGTGTTTGCGTGGGAGATAAGATACGAGTTAGAGAAAAGGTCGAATTTATGAGAATGTAAGAGGTTGGGAATAGAAATGTTTAGTTTTGTAGTGGTGAAATAAGAAAGAGAATGAGAGGTAATGGTTTCACAATTGCATGGAACCATCAACGTGTTTGACTCTCTTTGCATGTCTCCGTCAATCACGTTATTCACTTTCCAATTTTTTACTGGTCGACCCTTTTTCTATCTGATGCATGATATTGTATTTTATGCATTCTTTTTTATGGTATTATAGGCTTCATGTTAGTTTATGCAATCTCGTCATAGTTAATTGATAGTTGTGGTCAAGAAAAAGATGTGAAATAATAAGAGTATAGATAGTATCTGGTATTAAACAATTAGTTTTGTTCAAAATTTTATAAAGGGTGGATAGTTTTTTAAGAATGACATATATTTAATTCATTTCTTTTAATTTATCATTTTAATATATATTAAAAACAACAAATTTATAAAATTACTCATTGTTTCTCTCATACAAATTAATTAACTACATTTTTTATTATGTGTGAAAAATTCAAAACAATTTATAATAATAATTTTATTTTATTTTGAGTTTTACCAAGATCATGGAAGATGTTAGTACGTGAGACACTTTTAGTGAGGAGAGAAAGAGAGAATAATAAAGGAAATAAGAATTTATATTATTGAATTGTACAAATAATGAATACAACTCTAATTGGGTTTTGGTCTACACAACTTGGATTATATTTTAACAAATCTAATTTAATATTTCAACACACACCCATGATTCAAGTTGTCGAACATCCTCAAAAATAGTCAATCTGAAATATTCCTAATTTCTTTCTCAAATTCAAGAATCTGTCAATCTTCAATCCTTTGGTGAAAATGCCGGTCAACTGTGCTTCACTAGAGCAATGACTTACTTCAAGTTCACCTCGATTTACCTTTTCCCTCAAGAAGTGAAATCTTGCTTCAATATACAGAATTGGATTCTTTGCCAGATTTATGGTTGAGTTGTTGTCGATTTGCAACACAAGAGGTTTCTTCACTTCGACCTTTATTTCTTCATGTACATACCTGATCCAAATTGCTTGACATGCAGCATAGGATCCTACTATATATTCAGCTTCATAAGATGATAATGTCACCACAGATTATTTCTTCGAACACCATGAGATTGGGGCACCAAATACTTGAAAGAAATATCCAATTGTACTTCTTCGATCTTCCTTATCTCCACACCAATCAACATCTGAAAAACAATTAACTATGGCTTCTTTGTCTTCAGAATCTCGTCGAGATAGTATTCCACTGTTTATCGAACCCTTCAAATATCTCAGGATTCTTCTTGCAGCCTTCATATTTTACACTCTTGGTTCACTCATATATCTGCTTACTAATCCTACAGCGAAACCTATATCGGGTCGACTGTTGCACACATACCTCAGAGATCCCACAATTTGCTTGAACAAATTTACAACGACTTTGTCTTTCTCTCCATTCTTCTCCAATTTTACATTTTGTTCGACATGTGAGGATGCAGGATTCGAATCATCGATTCTGAACCTCTTGAGTATTTCTTTGACATACTTCCTTTGATGTAGCACCATACCTTGCTTCGACATTTGAAATTTCATACCTAAGAAATAAGACAATTTTCCCAAATCAGAAATTTCAAATTCCTTCATCATCAGCTCTTTGAACTTCGATAAGTTCTCCAAGCTATTTCTAGTCACTAGCAAGTCATCAACATATAAGCAAATGATTGTTATATCTTATGCTACAACCTGAGCATGGACACCATACTCAGATTTGCATTTGACAAATCCTAATTCGACTAAGTATGAGTCGGTCTTCTTGTTACATGCCCTAGGTGCCTGCTTGAGGCCATAGAGCGCTTTATGCAACTTATATACTTTACTCGCTTCCTTCTGAATCAAAAACCATGGAGGTTGTGTGACATAGACCTCTTCGTCTAAAGGACCATTCAGAAATGTTGATTTCACATCTAAATGAAATATCGACCAACCTTGGTTGCATGTCAATGCTACCACTAGCCGAACAGTCTCCAATCTTGCTACTGGAGCAAATACTTCAGAGTAGTCGAGTCCTTCTCTTTGAAGAAACTCTCGAGCTACTAATCTTGCTTTATGTCTTGCTATCGAGCCATCAACATTATGTTTCAACTTGAATACCCACTTTACTTCGATAGCTTTTGTATGTGTTGGCAACTCGAATAACTCCCATGTGTTGTTTCTTTCAATTTCTTATAACTCTTCGACCATAGCAAACTTCCACTGTTTAGTTTTCAAAGTTTCGCTATGAATTAATTCTCCATCTGGTGTGACTTCATCATCACCCACCACTTCATAATCATGAATTCTTGTTGGAAGAACTCTATTTCTTTGAAGTCTTTGGCTTGTTTCAGCCACAACCTCTTTGACTTCGACTGTGTCGGGAATATCAGCAAATGCTTCTTCTTCGACTTCGACTATCTCTTCGACTTCGACTGTGTCGGGAATGTCAATAATCGCTTCTTCTTTGACTTCCACAGCATCAGTTTCTTCATCGATATCAGAACTCGTCAATGGCTTGTTAATTGAATTGATATCCTTATGGTCAATAATAGTTTTCAAACATTGAACTTGAGTAGAACTGATCATAGTCTTAAATGTCATGTTCTTCGACAATGGAGATTTTAAGACCAAATTGTTCTTGGTGTCGAACAATTTCAAAACTCCATCTTTCATGACAACTGAGAAACCTTTTTCGACTAGTTGTCCAACATTTAGCAGGTTGTACTTTATTCCAAGTGCATAAAGCACATCTTTGATTGTAGCTTTCCCTTTGTTACTCATTTGAAAGACTATATTTCCAATACCTTCTGCTTGCAACAAACTATTATCAGCAAGTTTTACTTTTCCCTTCTTCGACTTGTCAAAATCTACCAACCACTCCTTTCAACCAGTCATGTGGTTCGAGCATCCTGAGTCGAGAAACCAGATCTTAGATTCGACATGGTTATCTGCAACTATAGCCATAACCACCATACCACCTTCAGAATCATCTAAATCTTAGCGTTCAAGGTTCGCTCCTTCGTCCTTGCTTGTCGATCCCTTGTCTTTTCTTTACCAATAATTCTTGGCTAAGTGGCCTCATTTTTCACAGTTATAGCATTGCACACCTTATTTTGTCTTCTTTGCCCTTTCGATAGTTTCATCCTCCTCCTTTCGAGGATTTAGAAGCTCCATCTTTGACCTGATGTTTGTGAGGTTTCGACCAAGACTTCTTGCCCTGAGTCTTGTCGAGATTGTCTTTAAATTTGTTGGAACCACCATCCTTTTTCCATGACTGAGCTTTCAGAGATTGTATCGAGTCTTGCACTCATTTCCTTTCGACAATCCTCATCTCATGCGCCTCCAACAAACCAACCAAATCTTCCACTTTAGTGGTTTCAAGATTGTTGGATTCTTGAATAGCTACGATAACGTGATCAAAGTGAGAGGTCAACATTCTCATTACCTTCTCAACTATCATCTTATCAGTTATGATTTCACCAAACCCTTCATGATATGGATGAGTTTTTGAACCTTCAACACATGTTCTGCAACTTTTTCATCTTCTCCCATCGACAACAACTCATATTGTCGATGCAAGGTTTGTAACTTTACAACCTTGACTTTCTCACCTCCTTCGTAATATTTCACCAGAATATCTCATGCCTCTTTCGTCATTTCAGCATGAGAGATTCTTTCGAAATTAGAAGCCTTGAAATATTTCTTCTTGACTTCGTTATGGGATTTTTTCTATTCGTCGATTGCATTTGCAGCCAACACAAGAACGTTGTCAGTAACCACTTATAAGGTTTCATGGAAGCCAAACAAGAATTGTATCTGTTTTTTTCATCGGATCCAATTCTTGCCGTCAAGCATTGGAAGAGAATTTGGAATTCCCTTATCACTAGCCATCTTCGTAGCGGTTGATTCACTTGTCCTTGAAACACGATCTCTGACGTGAAATTCTTCAAAACTTGATCAAGAACAATAAACAGAAGCTCTGGATACCAATTTATTAGTGTGTGAGACACTTTTAGTGAGGAGAAAAAGAGAGAATAATAATGGAAATAAGGATTTATATTATTTAATTGTACAAATAATAATACAGACTAGGACTATTTATATACAACCCTAATTGGGCTTGGGTCTACACAACTTGGATTATATTTATATATTAAATCTAATAAAATCTAATCTAATAATTTAACAAATCTAATTTAATATTTCAACAGAAGAGACAAACTTTTTTTCTAATAAAGGACAAATAAATTACTTTATTGAGTTTAACTAATCTTTCTTTGTTTTGTTAAATTTAATGAGAGTAATCAAACTTGAAGAGATAGCACAAGCAAAACTGATTAAGGTAGCGCCTTATTCGACAGTCTCTCGGTACGATACTGCTGATTAATGGTTCATTCACTTTGAATTTATATGTTGGTGAAGCAAACAAACTCATCATCGTTGACGGAGGATGATACTCAACAGTGACCATCCTTATTGTGTCTCAGTGGTTGCAATGATGATTCAGCTAGTCTTTCAAAGAGCTCAATATTTAACATCAACATTGATCAACACCAGCTAGTTTTTGTGACTTATGGGTTCTACTTTATATGTTTAGGAGTTTGGTTCTAGATGTGTGTTTTGCTGAAAGGAGTGAAACATGAGCAAAGATGGAGAATGGTTGGACCGATACAAAATTTGGGTTTTTTGGTGGATAGCATAAAATATTCAT